TATATATATATATATAAGCTTTTTTTTTTTTAATTTTTTATTGAACAAATAAAAATTTTCGACAAAATATTTTAAAACAACAAGTAATAGCTATTTTACAACAAGATTTGCTGTTTTTTCCGTCATTTTTAGGTTTGCAGACTTTAAAAGCGTTTTTTCAGGTTGATAGCTTTTCCTATTTAAATTTTTTTTTTTCAAATGAAGTTTCTCAATCTTTTCCTTTTCACGAGTGTCAGCTCATTGTTGACTTAGTTTCCTCTTTATTTATTTTGTCTTTGAGAAGACAAAATAAATAAAATCAGTTTCTAATTGTTAGATTTATTCTAGTAGTTGCAAGAGGATTGCGTTTTATCGATAGATAAGATTGGTAAATTTATTTTGTTATGGTGTACCTATTACCCCTAAACTTTCACTTGGTTCTCCCATTAGGGTTCTATTTGTGACATATCTGCGCATGAAATCTTTTTGCGGCTTGTGGTTCAGACAGTGAATTATTGAAAATACTAATAGTTTTTTCTTTTACCACATTTTCATTTCTTTTATTTTTATCTGTTTTTGTTACATATTTTTGAGGCATATAAAAGATAAGAGAAATAAATTGTCATGGTATTTTTAAGCACCGGTCGAATGTTCCCCAGCTAAGTAAGTTGAATGTACTCCACACGTGTTATGAATAAACAAATTTTGAAGTAAACCAAACACAAAGGTTTTTAACTCATGATATCATTAAATAATAAATAACAAAAAAGTTTAGAAGGTTAAAGTTGGAAAAGAGATTCTTTGTGGATTATTTAAAACATAAAAAAATTACCTTTTATAGCAATAATTATATTTTCTTCTAAATAAGTTCTAATACTATTAAAAATGGATCGATACTTATTTCGCGCCATAGCTTATTGATAGACAAAATATGCATAAAAATTTTAAGTGGTAATTTTAATCATGCTGGGAAATATTTGAAAAGGTCGAATGTTCCCCATGGTCGAATGTTCCCCGTCTTTTTTCTCTTAGAGAAAAGTTAGAGAAAGTTAAGCTACAAAAATGCTTTCTCATATGTATCACTGGTATATCCAGTTGTGAGGGTGTTAGTTTTAGTTCATTCCTTATCATTTAGTTCTTTCTTTAGAAAAAATTTTAAATTCCATCATCTTGATGTTGTAAAAAAAAAAGTATTAAAGTATATAAAATTCTCTTTAACAACTCAATAACACATCTGCAGTAAGGAAGGAACTTATTTGATATTTAACAGCTTCAGTACCAGTTTTAGTTTTTTTTCATCCTACACAAATTGACAATTTGCTGGTAGTACGTGGGTATTGAGTTATGAAAGATGTAAATTTAGTAATTATAACCAATTTATTAGGAGGGCTGGATCATTAGCAGTTGATCCTAAAATGGTTTATGGGAGCAATTTAAAGTTCTTGCAAAAGTAATTTTTTTTCTCTCAAAAGTTTAATTATCATTGTAACTAAAATCAAAAGTCGCAAAGTCAAAAAAATTTAACTCAAATAATAAACAGGCATGGTTTTTGCAACAAAAAAAATTTAATCTATCTAAAGAATTTATTCACGGTGCAATAAATGACACTTGTTATGAGTATATTATTGTAACATTAACGTTACAAACATATGCTTGTAACAAGTATAAATCTAAAATTTTTATTTAATAAGCAATTTTTATATAAATAAACAGATAGCTTGTGCAAAAACCAAAAGCTCTCGTTAAAAGCAGTATTGAGGAGCAGCTCACATGGCTCACCATGTTCCTTTCAGAAGAGCTTTTTTCTGCTCTCGCGCTCATTTACTTCCAAGAAGGCTTATATATATATATATATATATATATATATATATATATATATATATATATATATATATATATATATATATATATATATATATATATATATATATATATATCATTATATACTAGCCAAATGAAACTTTAACGGGAAAAAAGTCTCTTTTAACATTTAAGCAACATCAACAATTAAGCAACAATTTAATGTTGTTTAAAAGTTAAAACAATTCAAATAATGTAGAAGTACATTAGATTTTATTGTTTTTTATAAAACCACAATATTAATGACTTGAAAATTTTTTTAATAGTGTTTTTGTTTTTGCTTTTTTATCATTTTATAATATTTGTAAAACATGCAAGAATATTTATGATATATATAAATTATAAATATATATAAACTTATTTAGTGCGTAATTATATTTTTATATATATCTACACAGTATATGTAAATATTGTGATTTTAAAAAAATGATTTATTATTCTTAAAAACTTTGTATAATGAAACTATTAATAAAGAAATAAGACTTACTATAGAATAATTAGAGAGGTCATTATATTTTCTAGAGTTTCTAAAAATTTAAACCACTTGTTTAACAATTAATAGTTTAGCAAGAATTGAAGAGAGTTCTGGAGAACACTTATGCAGACCTGTTAAGTCTCCCTATTTGGTGAGAGTCTCGAATTTTAAAGAACAATTTATTCCCCTTCTGCATTTGGAAAAAATTTGAAAATCTCTCTTTTTTCTTAATAGCAAGTTTTAACCAGCTAGGCTTCTACTTTTTTTTTTTTTTAATAGATTTTAGGTCGTATTTTCGTTTTTGCTTTTTTGATTTGTGTTCTATTTGCCATGGAGAATGTGTCAATTAAAACAAAAATAGCATTAATATATATATATATATATATATATATATATATATATATATATATATATATATATATTGGATGCCCTAGACACTTCTTACTCCAAAAACACATATGATGGAAACATGATAATATTTTAAATATATTTAGTCAATCAAATTTTGAAGACCTTTTTTTTTTTTTTTTTTTTTATTGAGGCAAAGATATATTTTAGTCAAATATATCATGGTAGGTCAATATCATAAAGTCTCCCTCATATCCATTTTTAAAACTTGATAGCTTTGCTATGATAGAAATCATTCCATGATGAATGATAAGTTCTTATTTTGATCCCCACCACGTCCCTGGTAGTAATACGTTCAACTTGTTTCAACTTGTTTTACTCAACTTGTTTCAACTTGCCTTAGAAGAGTTAATTGGCAGAGTTATTTGCAGATAACTTTTCCATTAATTTGACTCCTGAATTTAATGCCTATACTTTTCCTACCAGTTAAACAGATTAACCCATTGATATAAGTGCAAATCACTCTGGAAGCTAGAATGGCTTACATGTCCATCAATATTTGTCAGAAAATATTAAAGTGGTTTGGCTATCAGCATATTTTAAGCTTCAGGAGAAAATGGTTAAGTTATAAGTAAAAAAACTTGAAAAGTGTTACATGATATCACCATGGAAGCCTTCAATGGTGCAGAGATTTGTGAATTAGTACAAATATTTCTTTTACATCTATCGTAATTCTATAACAAAAACAATTTTGGTATATATCAAAATGATGGATTAGCCATTTTTAGAAATAAAAGTTTTTATTTTAAAATTTTTGTAAAACTTTAAAAAAATGAAAATCTTGTTTCTATCAACTTTTAGTCGTAATCTAGCACTAAATCTGAATGACAGTTCTTTTCAGTCTGACTACAAACTAGATTTACTTATTTAGGGGAAGTGGGGGCATAACCGCCCCCGTAAAGTTTGGATTGATGTTTTATAAAAATAAAAACAAAATGTGTTTTTTTAACAGTTTATTTCAATAACCACATTATTAAGTCTTTAATTGTTGCAAATAGGAAAAAACTATAACAGTTTTTGAAAATTTTATTACACAAAAAGTACACTTTGGATAAAATGGCTTTGCCCCTATTGTGAGGTACAACCGCACCCTTAAAAAAATTCTTGTGGGTACACCTTTCATGTTACGTTTTCCTTACAATTTTCACAGCTCAGGTTATTTGATGATTTTGTTGCATGTTTGCATACTGTGCAGTCATTCTTTGTATTTACATTTTGAGTTCTGCTCCAGAAAAGAGTTCTGCCCCAGAAGAGAGTTCTGCCCCAGAAGAGAGTTTTTAGAAAGAATTCAGTTTCATAGCTTGCTTATTAGATTATGTTGATATCAAAAATGATAAAATAACACTGATAACACATATCTTTAACACTTAAATCGAATATCGCTCAATACTCGAAAGAAAGGTCTGGAAAAATATGTAAAAATAATCAATTTTATCAAAATAAACATTATTATGCACAACTTCTCTGAAACGCATCATTTTTGACATAAGTGAAATAAAAGAAACTGTTTTACCAACGTGTGATATGTTTTTTACCATATTAGATAACATTTTTCAAACAAAATGTTAAAAAATGGTTGCACCTTCATATGCGGTTATGCCCCACTTTCCTTACATATATTCTGATTCTAATATCCTACCCAGTCAATTAAAAAGTATTCCTAGATCTATCAAATTAAGATTGTCAGCCACATCTTCAAGTAAAACTATTTTATAAAAAAGTCTTCCTCCTTATCAAGAAGCTTTGAAAATTAACTGTGTACAATTGCAATCTTGCAAACCATATAAGTATAAAACCAACACAATCATAAATGCAAGTTAATATAGTACAACCATCCTTTCAGTGCAAATGTTATTAAAATATAGGCAAATATTTTTTTGAACCTCATTGACTTAAATTACTAATATATATATATATATATATATATATATATATATATATATATATATATATATATATATATATATATATATATATACACACACATATAGTTTAAATGCCAGTTAAAGCATTTAAAAAGTTATTACCTGAGTATGTATTTTTAATTGTATCATTTTTTATTAATTATGTAATTATTAAACTTGTTAATAGTAATAGTTATATGATAAAACACTTGTTAAATTATTATCAATTTATAGTTTCGTACTATAGTATTATTATATATTGTAATATAAGTCTATAAAAATAAGTTATATAGTATTATTATATATAATAGTATTATTATATATAATATATTAAATTCATAAAGTTTTATCAGAAATTAATTTTTTTATTGTAGACAGGAATACCTTGATGATTTATATGAGATTGCCAGATCCAGAGATGATCCGCTGCTTCTTGATTCCTTGGAAAATTTTCTTGCTGCAACAGTAGATAATTTATTGAGAAAACAGGCAGAAAATGAATACTTGGAGCTTTCTCTTAAAAGGTTTTATTTAATAATCAAAATACATTATTATTTTATTTTAATATTTGTTAATTACTTTTTATCTGAAAATTTTTCACATAAATTGGTTAATGTGTGTTAATCAAATATAGATAACATTATTTTAAACCTATTTATAGAAATAAATTTTTCAGTGAAGTAATTACTGGTGGGAATGCTTAATTAAAAACTTACTCAGTAAAAATATTCTCCTTTTCTCAGTATTTGTTTTCGCATTGTTCATTACTTTTTCCTGTTTTTTGTCTCTTTTAATGAGTATCAAATTTTATATGGTCATAATTTTTGAACACTGAGAGATAATACTATGAAACTTAAAATTTATGGATAAATATAAGTCTAGTTGAAAAATGTACAAAAATTATTTCATCAACTTGTTGCTCTCACATTTGGGGCAGTCTCACATTTGGGGCAGTTTTTTTTGTTCCCAAGCTCCAATCATCGTAATTTTTTGAAAAGCATCCTTATTTTACATAAGTATAAACTTATAAATGTTTGGAGTTTGCTCCATGTCTGGAAGTTAGCTATCTCAAAGACCAAAAAATGCTGGCACCGCCACTGGTGTAATGTATAGTATCAATAAAGTATTATACAAGTACAATTGTTAATTTAAAAGTTTTTTTTAATAATTAGTTTATAATCAAATTTTGATTGTTTTTAAACTGAAGGAAGTGTAAACAGTTTAAAATACAGTTTTCAGTTATTGCTGAAAATTCCAACTACTTATAATTATGACAGATAATTATTTATAAATGCTGAAGATGCATGCTGGCACAATTAAACAATCACATATTGTATGGGTGATTGTTTAGTTATCAACCAATAGAAAAATATCTAATATGTTTTATTTAAAAATATCTAATATGCTTTATATTAAAATCAGGTGAAATTAAATCATTATTAGAGTGCACAATTTTCATAGAAGTTGGCAAACAATTGATTGCTTTGATTGATTGAAAAATTGACAACAGTATCATTTGTATCATTCAGCATGTTAACAGATAGCCAGAAAATATTTGAATCTAGAAAAATTTACATGATTTTGTGAGAATCCAGGAAAATCATGTGGAAGATTAAGAATTGCTCCAAAACTGACAACATGGTACTCTGTTTTACTTTGAAAGACAAACTTGCAAAATTTTTGCTCAACAAGCTTGCAGTCTTGTTGAAAGCAAAGATGTTAAAAAAAAATAAAAACTGCTTCCCACCAAACTCATGTTTCACTAGCAGATCTTAGGAAAGCCATAACAAAAGGGTGTTGTCATAAAATAATGCTTAAATGTTGTGAATCTCCCGTAGTTTCAATACAGCAAAGTGGCTGTTCTAAAAGTTCAAGGAGCACATAGAAAGAAACCTTTCTATTTCTATTTTGTTTTGTACTGTGCATCTTTATTCTTTTATGCTTATGTTGGTTTTTGAACTAAAACATTTTCTTGTAATAAATGTCTACACTTTTCTTGTCATAAATGTCTACACTACATATATAATATAAATAATATATATAAATATAGAAAAATATAGTATACACTATACAATACAAAATGTCTACACTATACAATACAAAAACAGTTTTTCACTTTAAGTATTGGGTAGTCAAATTTTATTGGCCATTACTGTAGATAGATAAATTCACTGTATCTATTATAACAGTTGAAATAAAGATATTTCATTTAAATATGCTTTCTATATATTTTTTAAGTTTCATTTAAATATCATTTATAATGTATAATTTTTTTGTATAAGTTCTCTATAAGTTTTCTATAAGTTGCTTTAAAAGTTTGATTAAGAGCTGTAATATAAATGTTTTGTTTTAAAAGAAAGCTGTAATATAAATGTTTTGGTTTAAAAGAAAGCTGTAATATAAATGTTTTGGTTTAAAAGAAAGCTGTAATATAAATGTTTTGGTTTAAAAGAAAGCTGTAATATAAATGTTTTGGTTTAAAAGAAAGCTGTAATATAAATGTTTTGGTTTAAAAGAAAGCTGTAATATAAATGTTTTGGTTTAAAAGAAAGCTGTAATATAAATGTTTTGTTTTAAAAGAAAGCTGTAATATAAATGTTTTGGTTTAAAAGAAAGCTGTAATATAAATGTTTTGGTTTAAAAGAAAGCTGTAATATAAATGTTTTGGTTTAAAAGAAAGCTGTACTATAAATGTTTTGGTTTAAAAGAAAGCTCTAATATAAATGTTTTGGTTTAAAAGAAAGCTGTAATATAAATGTTTTGGTTTAAAAGAAAGCTGTAATATAAATGTTTTGGTTTAAAAGAAAGCTGTAATATAAATGTTTTGGTTTAAAAGAAAGCTGTAATATAAATGTTTTGGTTTAAAAGAAAGCTGTAATATAAATGTTTTGGTTTAAAAGAAAGCTGTAATATAAATGTTTTGGTTTAAAAGAAAGCTGTAATATAAATGTTTTGGTTTAAAAGAAAGCTGTAATATAAATGTTTTGGTTTAAAAGAAAGCTGTAATATAAATGTTTTGGTTTAAAAGAAAGCTGTAATATAAATGTTTTGTTTTAAAAGAAAGCTGTAATATAAATATTTTGGTTTAAAAGAAAGCTGTAATATAAATGTTTTGGTTTAAAAGAAAGCTGTAATATAAATGTTTTGGTTTAAAAGAAAGCTGTAATATAAATGTTTTGGTTTAAAAGAAAGCTGTAATATAAATGTTTTGTTTTAAAAGAAAGCTGTAATATAAATGTTTTGGTTTAAAAGAAAGCTGTAATATAAATGTTTTGGTTTAAAAGAAAGCTGTAATATAAATGTTTTGGTTTAAAAGAAAGCTGTAATATAAATGTTTTGGTTTAAAAGAAAGCTGTAATATAAATGTTTTGGTTTAAAAGAAAGCTGTAATATAAATGTTTTGGTTTAAAAGAAAGCTGTAATATAAATGTTTTGGTTTAAAAGAAAGCTGTAATATAAATGTTTTGGTTTAAAAGAAAGCTGTAATATAAATGTTTTGGTTTAAAAGAAAGCTGTAATATAAATGTTTTGGTTTAAAAGAAAGCTGTAATATAAATGTTTTGATTTAGAGCAACATTAAAGAATAATGAGTTTAGTTCGCAGCTTGAACAAGAAATGGATCAACATGTTCAAATGCTGGAGGAGAAAATTCGACAAGAAGAACAGCAAAAACTGGCTATTCAAAAACAAGAAGCCTATCAACAGTTAATAATTGCTCAAAAGGAACTGGCTGAAATGGAGAATAAAGTTAAAATGGTATCAACTTATATTTTATTAATGATTATATTTTGTAATTTTAAATATACATAACATTTTAACTATTTCAAAATACTCACAGTACATATTTTCATATAGCTTTACATAATTTTCCCCATCAAATATGTAAAATGTATGTATACATAAATACACTTAAACATAAATGCGTGAATTTTTTCATGTTCTTTTATTTATTTTAATTATTAAATATATTCAAAAAGTTTAATTTAAAGTTAAAATTATTTAATATTATTGCTTTAGATTAAATTTAAGATTTCATTTATTTTAAAATTTTCTTTTACAATGTATAAAATAAGTTATATATTGTTGAAGTTTCTTTTACTTTTTTTTGTTTCTTCTAATATCTATATCTGGAGTTAGTGTTGCAACTTTATAAAGTTCATGCAGTGTGTTAACTAGCCTCTATTTAAAAGAATTGCCTCTATTTAGTTTGTAACACAAACAATTCTTAATAGTAGTTAACAAGGGAATTTTCCAATTACCTCTAAATTTTCAAAAAAGTAATGTAAAATTAAAATCAACGATTAAAAAGTAAATTTTTAAAATAGTTTATATATATATATATATATATATATATATATATATATATATATATATATATATATATATATATATATATATATATTATATATATATATATACTACCGTTCATAATTATTCGAATCACATTAACTTTTTTTTTTAATGCTTTTTTTTTTATTTAACCATTTTTTTGTTTTTTGCACTATTAGATAACTTAAAAGTATTTTGGCTAAAATGCTTTGATAAAAATCATAAGAATAATAAAAATGTTAAAGTGGGCAAAACTACATAAAAAATGAACCATCAACGACTGTAAACGGGAACCAACCTGTAGAAGTTTTAATTCTTTGGTTTTAAAATAAGATCTGTCTGGAAAAAAAAAGTTGTTGAATTTATGATAAAATAATGTTAATTATCAACTGTAAAACATGGTGAATGTAGTGTAAAGGTGTTTTAGTTAGAATGTCACAGGTGACTTTGTGAAAATAGAGTGAGTAATGACAAAAGTTTACTTGTACACTTAAAAAATTATGCTACAACTTTGGAAAGATAGGTTAATGAGAAGCTGTTCATTTTTTTAAAAGAAAATGACTTGAATTTATTTGAAAGAAGTTCATAAACTTTCATTTTTTTCTTTGTTTCATTTGTTTAATTGAAATATAAATTCATAATGTTTTTGCATCATTAAAACATTAAAACAATGAAATAACGATTTCTCTTCGTTAAAACATTCGCAAATCACCATTCATTGTTTGTAGAAATTTGCGCTCTAGTTTCAACAAAATGACGTAAGTTAACATGAAAAAATGAGTTTTTTACTTAAAGTATAACTTTAACATTTTACCTTAGTTGAAAAAACGAAATTAAAGATATTTGAATTGAGATTATTTTGTTTTTAACAATAAGCGAATTTTTTTGTTAAAATTAAACAATAATCTTTACCAAAACCTTTTAAAAAAAAAAATGTAATAAAAAAATCAACATTTTTTTCCCTCCCAAATTTATAGGACGATTTTTTACTCTCATAACTAAATTAGCGAGCGTTTTTTATCATGCTCGCAATTTCTAAATATTCCATTAACGAGCGTGTTTCATGTGACGGGAGCGATCAATCCCGCTTCATACCAAGGCCTGTATATATATATAAATATATATAAAAATTAGTAGAAAATCACTTAACAAAAATTTTTCTATTAACGCTGTGTTTCATCAATAAAGACTAATCAGAAATGAATGATTAAATTAATAAAGCTTCAATTTATACCAAAAATTAAATTACAGGAAGTCTTAAATGTCTTAACTACTGTAAATTTTCACACATCTGTGGAATATGCGGACACTTATAAAAAGAATTCTTTAAAATTGATTACTTTCGCTTCTTTTTTTTTTTTGATGTTTGTTACAAGGAGAGGGGGGGGGGGAGATTTAATTTAATGGGTAGCAGTAACATCGAAAACAGCCAAACTGAATAATCTCGAAAATAGAATTTCCAGAATAACATCGAAATAGAGAATAACATCGAAATTGTAAAAAAAGGAATTGTATCGAAAATCGGAAAAATAGAATAACCTCGAAATTGTGAAAAAAGGAAAAATATTGAAAAGGGACGTTTCGAAATAATATCAAAAAAGAAAACATTTTTGTATATAATATCAAAAAAGAAAACGAATTTGTTAAAAAAGGATTAGTATCGAAAATCCTAAAAGCAGAATAATCTCGAAACAACTCAAAAGAGAATAATATTGAAAAAAGACTTACCGGAACAATATCGAAAGTGTGAATAAAGGAATAGTATCGAAATTTCAAAAAACAGAATTAGATCGAAATTGTAAAAAAAGGAACAATATCGAAACGGGACTTTCGGGAATTATATCGAAACTGTGAAAAAAGGAATAAAATCGAAAAATGACTTTCCAGAATAATATCGAAAAGGTGAATTTTAATAATAGGTTTGAAAATTCCAAAAGCAGAGTAAATAGGCGGCAGTTTTTTGCGGTTTTTAATTAAAGTGTAGTAATTACACTGTATAATTGTATAATATAAACAAAAAGCTCTATTAGTAGAACAAAAAATATTGAATATTGTGTTGTTGGCTATTTATAAAACGATTCAAAACAAAATGTATTGATTTTATTTACAGTAGGCACATCACACGACTTTACTATTACAATTATCTCTTGTTGTAATTAATACCATTATATGCGGATAATAAAGAAGCTTTCAGAATGTGTTCATTTTTTAAATTTGGATAACTGGTTTCCAAGTTATGACAATCTATGTTGGGCTCAATAACGCCTATTTCGCGTCAAGATTTGTTGAGTTTTTCTAAAGGAATTATGGCACTAAATTTTGATAATAAATTTATTTTTCATATGCTATCAAGAAGGAATTTCATTGAAGTACCTATGCTGAATTATTTTTATTGTTTTCTTTTTTATGAAAGCATTCAATTCTACAAATTATCATTCTCATATTAGGGGCCCCTAGGTAAGAATTCCACTCCTCGTTTACCCATTTGGGGCAATTGGATCAAAAGCTATAAAAGCTTCGTTTAAACCGTAAAAATTAACTTTAGATAAAGAAATAGAGTTTTTTCAAACGGTCAGGGTAAACAAATTCATTAACATTTATAAATAACAAGAAAATAGGTAAAAATATTAGGTCTAATTTCTTCTACAGAACTTTGATTGTTCTTGGCCCAATCACCCATTCAGGACAATAGGGTAAAAATACACAAAGTCCGTTTTCCCATTTTGGGGCAAATTGGGCCAACAGTAAAAAAAACTCTGTTAAAACTAAAAAAATTAACTCAAGTTAAAGAAAAAGACCTTTTTCAAACTGTCAGAGTAAAGATTCATTTACATTTATAAATATCAAGAATATATGTAAAAATCTAAGAAGAAACATTTTTCTCATTTAGGGCCGGGAGCCATGACGTTAAACTTATAACAATAAGCAAAAAAAAAATTCTGAAAATTTTTCGGTAATAGCTCAAACCCTGAATAAGTAAAATTTGAACTCTATTTTATGAAGTTGCACCACCAATTTTATGAAATATCATGCAAATAGTTTTGTCGTTAACATGGAAATGTGAACTAAGAGTCACATTATACCTGAACTTTATTATATTTTAATTTTACGCGTTGCAACGCGTTAAAGTGAAGTATGATAAAACTTACAAATCCATGTTAATGACAAAACTATAAACATAAAATACAGTTCAAACTTCACTTATTTTCAAGCTTCTTTATCCACTTAAATTGTAAATCAAATCCAAGTGACGCAGTTATAAATAATGTTATTTATCATTTGCAACAACAATGTTGTTTTTATCATAGATAACGTGTTATATTTTAGAAATATTAGTGACATCTTTTGGAAATAATAAAAAAGATCGCCTTTGTTTAAATGCTTGAAAACATTTGCCCTTTAGTGATTTTTTAACAAAATGATTTTAGGCCCACTGCACAGTGGGCCAGAAACATTTTGTTGTGATCAAAATTAATAACTACATATAAAATCAATTTAACAATATTAACATTATAAAATTAATTTAACAATAATTCTATTTACTAAAACATAATATTACAACCATTTAAATTTTCTTCAGGTTACTCACTTTCAAAAAAGACTAAAAATTTTTGAATTGTTAAAGGTTGGTTTTGCTCATTTTTTTAATTTTTGCTCACTGCTGGCCCACTGTGCACTGCCTTGAATGTTAACTAAATATTTTATGTAAGCAAAACATAAAATTCCAAAAAGAACTATTAAACACTTACTTTACAAAAAAAAAAATCGTCCTTACTACAAATTCTGATGGAGGGGGAGGGAAAATGCCTCCTTGACCCCTCCCACCATGACTTAGCCAATGTAGATATACCATCATGCCATAGCCCATGTTCAATTATATTTGTTAATATATTATTCGCAAATTATATTCATAAAAAATTTTGTAAGGCGTTTTAGGAAACTCGATTAACTTGAAGAATTATTAGTATATATATTAGTGAATAAAATATATGAAGATTAGTAAATTTACTAATCTTCTAACAATTTATTTTATGTATAGAAGGTTATTGATTGTACTTTTTATAAAAAGTACAATCAATAACCTTCTATAAATATACAAGCCCATATCGTAAAGATTTTGAGGTTAGGTTGGTTGTTTCGAAGAAAATTGTGGTCAAGAATAGAAAATCTTAATTAATTTTTATAACGTGAAGCTAAGAGCATTTGGTCAAAAAAAAGATGTCAATCGCTCACGATTATCTCCTCCCTTTCCCCACCCCTACCAACAGTAAGGAGGTGATAAATTTAATAGAAACTTTCTTTTAATAGAAAATTTATATCATTAGCAACTCTTTAAACAAAATGCATATTTATTATAAAGCAAATTAAGGATGAAAAATCCTTTTTTATAGCTGTTTTGTGCTGGTCTGTAAAATCTGGATCTGTGT